CTTGCCTTGTTAAATCTGTGAAGAAAGGCAGAAGGGATGGAAGGAATSCCAGTGACAGAGGTGACATCCCCAGGGCACAGCTTTGTCCAGGAGGGTTCCACCGTGTGACATCATGAAAAGCTGCAAATTGATGCTGAATTCAACTCTTAARCATGTCTTACCTCTTTAATTCTTTAAAAGCAGTCTAGCCTTGAAAATAAGCAAAAAAAGGGGGAGCAGGGGTACAAAGAGTCCTGATTTTAAGTATTGTTACTTTGAAAATGATAGCTAAAAAACTTATTGTGCAATGAAAATATCTCTGCTTTTCTTTTCCTTCTTCTTTTGTTCATGTTTGTCTACAGTCATCCCTTTCAAGCCCTGATTTCTTTGACTCACCAAGTCCTGAAGATGAGAAGGAAGAACACGTTTCCATTCCTCACAAAACTCTTGAAGTGTCAAGGAAATCAAGAACTGTTACAATATCMCAAGTAAGTTAATTGGAATTCCTCTGCTTAACCTTATCACGTGCATCTTCTATTTTTTAAAGCAGTGCACAAATGTTTGAAATTTAATTCCACAGTCACCTGGTAACTGCCCACTTAAAATGATAAAGGTTACTAAAAACTGTTCTGTGCTTAAAAGGCAAATCTAAAGTGAATTGTGTGGTTAAAATGTCTCAAATAAYCATACTGTGAAAAAATCCTTCTTGTGTAAATGCATTTCACAGAATAAATTTTATTCTGGGAAATAAATTTTAGGAACAAAGACCCTGTCTTTTTGCACTTTAAATTGAGTTTACCTTAGAAGAGTCTGTAAGCAGAGAAAATACAGCTCTTTGACACACTCTAACATAATGTGAATTTAAATTTGCAAATATAATCACTTTTTATATTGGTATAATTGTATTAATTTTATAGGCTTGTGCAATTACTGTGTATTGGTAGAACACTGTAGCAGGATCAAATATTATAAAAGGGATGTGTAGGTCAGACTTTAAAAGTTGCAACTATTTTTTAGTACATAAGGATACTTTTAATAATACAAGCACTACATTCTAATAGTCTAACAAGCATTTGAAAGATGAAGTCATGTACCTCTGATCAAATTATAAGGATAATATTTTGCCATGCAGCTCCCTCTTCTGGGARCACTTACACTGAGGAAAACTCTTGGGCCAACATTGGCAATTATATGMTAAAAGTGTAGCTGTTGTTCCTGTAAAATGAGATGGCTGATATTAAAAAGCAGCTGCTGGAGGGTTTAATGCTGATAGCCAGTTAAGCTCTGGAATAAAATGCTGAGATCAGTGACTGCAGTTGTGCCTTGCTCCCTGCTGCAGGTTTGAACTCAGCCTGGAGTCTCTTTTCACCCCAAAGGCAGYTTGATCCTATTGATATATGGGGTTATTATCCATTGAGATCTGTTTATAGGTACACATTGCTCACACCCTGCTCTGCTCTGGTCAGACCCCAAATGCTGTTCTGCACCAGCACAGCAAGGACAGCTTGGAGTAAATCCAGAGGAAGCTGCCAAGATGATCAGAGGGATGGAGCACCTCTGTTGCCTTGAAAGGGCAGTTTTTAATAATGACACAGACAYKGTTAAGGGGATAAAAAGGGTTTTACCTCGGGATTTGGGATCYCAGGTGCACAACTTGATGGCAGAATGCACCCCCGTGTACAGCACGGGTACAAGTTTTATAGGTTTCAGGAATTAGCAAATCTATCTAGGATTCCCCAATAAGATACAAGTTTTATAGGTTTCAGG